CGCAGGCTCAGCACCCCCAGCAGTACCAGAGTCAACAGCTACCTCGACAGGCTCGACTGCGTCTACCTGGGACACACCTGAGGGGGCAGGACCTTGAGGGGGAAGGGGGTCTACCGGGGGGGGACCAGGCGCGAGGAAGAGCGGCGGCGGGGAAAGGGGTGCAGTGCGGTTGGGGAAGAGACGGTGGTAGGGAACCGACCCGTCAAACGTGACGTCCTGGGAGGACAGAACACGGCGCGAGGTGGGGTGGTAAAACTGCCAACCAGGCGCGTCAGGGGGGAAGCCAAGGAAGACGCCGGGAACAGCACGAGGGGACAGCTTGTCCGCAGAAAAGTCGCAAACAAACGCCCGAGATCCCCAGACACGGAACGCAGACGCATCGCCAACCTTCCCCGTCCACCGCAGAGTAGGGGAGGTCTCCGGCATGGAGACCCGGGGCTGAAGGTTGATCTAATGCGCCGCGTACTGAACAGCGAACGACCACAGAAAATGGGGAGCAGCCGCATGGATCATGGACGTACGAGCGACGTCCATGACCATGCCAATGCGGCGCTCAGCAATCCCATTTTGCTGTGGAGAGGCCGGAAGCGTGAACGTCTAGCGGATGCCTCGTGCACGACAGAAGGCTCGTAGAAGGTCAGAGGAAAACTCTTTGCCTCTGTCGGAGTGCATACGCAGAACAGGAAAGTCCGAGCTGAAACTCTCTCTAAGCTGGAGACGAGCTGCGCGGATCCAGTCGATCAACACCTCAGTGACCTCACCCTTGCTGCGCAAGAGGAAGATTGTGGTGTAACGCGAGTAGTCGTCAACCACCAGCAGGAAGTAACGCTCGTGACCCTGTCCACGGACGCGGGCTGGGCCCCACACGTCCATGTGAAGCGTCTGCAGTGGAGCCTCTGTCGGAGGAAACTCGGAGGAGTGAGGAGCGGCGCGCTGCCGCCCCTCGACGCAGGGAACGCAGGTAGGGGCAGGCCCCGGAGGAAGGGGAGAGAGGGACCGGGGGAGACCAGAAACAAGGACACGTGAGGCCATGCCTCGGAGATGAGGCAGGGAGGGGTGACCAAGGCGATGGTGCCAGAGGAGAGTCTTGTGAGACAGGAGACGACACGAGCAGGGGGCAGACTCAAGACCAGACCTGGACGCTGCAGCAAACACCTGACCCAACGCAGCTACCTGACCAGACTCAGCGACTGGAGGAGACTCAGTAGTCAGTGTGTACAGGCTCGACCCCGGCTAACGGGTAAACGTGGCCAAGTGTCGGCTCGTCCGAGCACACGTGCAGTGGGTCACTCGCTGACTCGCAGGAGAGGAGTGAACTGGTCAACCCCTCTATCCTGCAGGTCAGCACCACTCACCAAGTTCGTAGAGAACAAGGGGAGGTAAAGACTTGACAGGAAGCTAGACGGGGCCGCCGGACACGGTAGCACAGTGGAGTAGTGAGCAAGGACAGGACCCCCAGAGGGGTCTGCCAGGGAGACCGTAACCGGCCGACTAAGCGGTGTGAGGGTGGTGCGGTCTCGAAAGAAGGAGCGGGAAGCACTCGAGTCAAGGGTGAAAGTGTGCAAGACCGCAGCAGGGGCGGCACCAGAGAGAGCAGACTCACCAGCACCTGGAGCAAGAGACTCACTAGCACCTAGAGCAGCAGCCTCATTGCCACCGACACCTGGAGCAGGAGACGCACGAGCACCTAGGGCAGCAGCCTCACCAGCACCTAGAGCAGCAGACTAGATTCCGGGGTCAGGCGGCACACACAGGTGACAGGCACCCTTAGCACTAGTACACAATGCATACATGGCAGTGAGGATAGCATCATAGTCAAGAGCAAATATATCTACCCTCTACTTAAGCAGCTCCAGCCAGGAGGGGAGCTCAGCGTTGTCGCCAAACTCTGTACGGCAAGCGTCGCTCAGACGGGCGAAGCAGCGGGACTCTGTGTGACCAAGAGTCCCGCAAGGCTGACCAGTCCAGACACCCGTGCGAATGACGTACGGGCAGCGAGCAGAACTCAGTGACCCTCCACTCTGAGCGTACCACTCGCAAAGCTGCTGGGGCGAAAGGGTCGCGCGCGAACGACGCTGCAGCTACACCTGGCCACTAGAAGGAGCTCCCAAACTACTCACTCTAGGACGACTCCCACCACGGCCACCCCGACAACCCCAACTAGCGTACTACTCACGAAGCTGCTGGGGCGGGAGGGACTCACGCGGACGTCGCTGTAGCTGCAGCTGGCCACCGCGAGGAGTAGTAATAGCAGTAGCAGCCGTAGTAGCAGCAGTAGCAGTAGTAGCAGCAGTAGCCGCAGTAGCAGCAGTAGCACTAGTAGCAGCGCGGCCACCCCTATAACCCCAGCTAGCGTACCACTCACGAAGCTGTTGGGGCGTGAGGGACTCACGCGGACGGCGCTGGAGCTGCATCTGGCCACGCCAGGAGCAGCAGTAGTAAAAGAAAGAGCAGTAGCAATAGGAGCAGCAGTAACAGTAGTACAGGCAGAGCAGTGCTCACCAGTGGCGAGAAGGACAGGCGTACGACGGAGGCGACTGCGAGGCTGCTACAGCGGCAGGGCGGGGCCGCGGCCGCGGCAGGAAGCTCCGCGGTTGTGTAGGGCAGGGACAGGGCCGCGACGGTCGCTAGTGCAGGGGCGGCTGCTCCAGGGTCCAGGGGCGGCTCCTGCAGTGGCGGCTGCTCCAGTGGCGGCCGCTCCAAAGGCCAGAGGCGGCTGCAGGTGCGGCTGCTCCAGGGGCCAGGGGCGGCTGCTGCAGTGGCGGCTGCTTCAGGGTCCAGGGGCGGCTCCTGCAGTGGCGGCTGCTCTAGTGGCGGCCGCTCCAGAGGCCAGGGGCGGCTGCAGGTGCGGCTACTCCAGGGGCCAGGGGCGGCTGCTGCAGTGGCGGCTGCTCCAGGGGCCCGGCGCGGGGTAGGGCAGGGCGATGCGTCGGGCAGGGGCGACGCCGCGGGCAGGGGCGACGCGGCGGGCAGAGCGACATGGCGGGCAGGGGCGACGTCGCTGGCAGGGGCGACGCGGCGGGCAGGGCGACGCGGCAGGCAGTAGGAGGGCGCGGCCGCTTCGACGGCAGGGCGGGGTCGCGTCCGCGTCGTCGGCAGGGCGGGGCCGCGTCCGCGTCGACGGCAGGGCGGGGCCGCGTCCGCGTCGGCGGCAGGGCGGGGCCGTGACAGCGACCTGACGGGGCCGCAACAGCGACCTGACGGGGCCGCGACTACGGCCTGACGGGGCCGCGAGTGCGGCCTGACGGGGCCGCGACCGCGACCTGACGGGGCCGCGACTGTGACCTGACGGGGCCGCCACTGCGGCCTGACGGGGCCGCGACCGCGACCTGACGGGGTCGCGCGCGGTCTGACGGGCCTGCAGAGGCTGCGTGCGGGCGGCGAGGGCCTGCAAGGGCGGCGCGCGGTCGGTGTGGTCTTGCAAGGGCAGCGCGCCGACCTGACGGGCCTGCAGGGGCGGCTCTCGGGCCTGACGGGCTTGCAGAGGCGGCTCGAGGGTCTGACGGGCATGCAGAGGAGGCTCGGGGGCCTGACGGACCTGCAGGGGCGGCTCGAGGGCCTGACGGATCTGCAGGGGCGGCTCGAGGGCCTTACTAGCTCGCAGGGGCGGCACACTACCCTAGGGCAGTAGGAGGCAGCGCAGGCAGAACGAAGGGCCGGGCGCGCGAGGGCGCACTCACAGAGAAAGGCGCACGAGGGCGCATGTAAGGTAGGGCGCACGAGGGCGCTTCAAGCGGAATAGTGGGCCCGTAGTAGTAAACGGTCCTAGGTGGCAACCTAGGCTCGTGATACCATGATAGAATAACGTGGAATGATTGCATTGAGCAGCATGAGGAGTACAAGTACCAAAGCCTAAAGTGTTGTACCCCATATGAGCTACCCCACTACAGCATATAAATTTGACATATACGAACCCCCCTTTGTCAAACTGCTTGTTCAAGGGTTCCCCTCGGAACAGCAATGCGTTGGTTGTGCCACCGCTGTGCTTTGAAAAACGCGGCATGACGATGGCATGGCTAAGGGATGGTATTTTGCCTGGGGACGAAGTTTCGTCCCCGCTTCCATATGCCGTCGAAACGTTAGATTTGGTGGACAAAAGTGGGCGTTCGCCAGACGTCCAGTTTGTTTGTTGGTTTGGATGGTGGGTGAGGCTCGGCACTTTTTCACGGGCTGACCCGGCTGACGGAGGTAAACGAACTCTAACTGACGTGATCAGGAAGGCGAGAGGAACATTCCTGATCCCATCGTTATCCCGTTGTTTTTTGCTATAATGGTGCTGGCGAACAGCCTCAGTATCATCCACTCCAGGAAATAGGTGCATCAGAGGGTGTCTCAGGACGTGTCTCATGTGAGGGGTCCGCTGGATCTGGTCCGCGACCAAAATCTATACGCCTGGTCCGGGTTCTGGTCCGACGGACCCACTTGGCGGACCAGCGTTGGACCAGACACGGACTGGTCTGCCGGATGCGTCGCGCTTTGGGCTGCACAGTATTTGCGAGATGCTGCAGTAGCGACGAATTTGAGATTGAGTTAACCATTTTCTTCGTCTGCACAAAAATCTCACGCTAAACTTACAAAACAAGAAATTTCACCAAAGCAAATGTTTCCTCACTACTGTTTACGGACCAAGCGCGGACTGGTCTGGAGGGCCAATTAAATGGCACCGTTTTAGTGCCATTTGAACGGTATAACAGGGTTACAAGCCTCGCATCCTGGTCCCGGTCCGCCTTGGTTCACGCGCTGGTTCTTGAGCTGGTCCGTCAGGTCCGAGCCGGACCCACGTGGACTCAGACATCTGAGCCATTTATTTATGCACGTCAGTAGCCGCTCATAAGGGGATGGAGGGCAACAGGAACCGGCGGTATTTCCTGGATATCCGTGCAGAAGCAGCAGCAGCACGCGCTGACACGGTCGCAACAATTGACGAGTCAAGGGCCCTGCTGACCACCGCTCGGCAGAAGCTCAGGAAAGCAACTTCCGAAGCCCTGCAAACCCGCCGCATGCACGGGGAGTCCGCCCTTGTGAATATCCGCCATGCTGTCATTCTGGTGCGAGCCGCCATGTCTCTGTGCCGGTGCTTGCGCATGGCTGTGGCCCACGTGGACGGCCAGGCTGCACCCGAGATGGCACTGGCAAACGTCGGCTCTGCTGCTGAGTCCGCAGGGTTCTTCACTGCAGCAGTGGATTATGAGAGAGAGGAGCGCGAACGGGAGAGGGAGGCGCTGGGGGGAGGAGGATGGGGGGAGGTGGAAGAGCTGGTGAATTTCACCCCTGAGAGTGACCTGCCGGCTGATCTGGCGGAGGTGAGTGAGACACTGCTGGGGGAGCAGACGGGTATGTGGCCGGCGTTTGTGGGTGTGTCGCAAGCACAGGCGCGCGGGGTGCTGCATGTGCTGATGGAACAGCTAGTGGAGCACATGGAGGCCATCAGTGATGCCTTTGAGGCCGCTCCGCCCCCAGCAGCGCTTGGGGCAGCTGGGCCACCAGGGGCGCCCATTGCAGTGCTGCCACCAGTGCCTGGGGCAGCGGCACCAGGGGCGCCCATCACAGTGCCGCCACCAGTAGCACGAGGAACACCTGCAGCAGCAGATGGAACGGTAGCAGAAGGGGCAGCAGTGCAGGAGCTAACAAGTGCAGGAGGAGAATCAGGAGGGCCAGTGGGAGAGGGTGCGAGCACGGAAGGAGCATCGCAGCAGCTGCCAGAGTCGGGAGGCGGTTCGGGAGAAGACGACGAGCAGCTGGGCAGCACAAGCCCAACGCTTACGCACACACCCTTAAAGGGGCGCACAACCCCAAGCGAGAGCATTCCCTCCAAAAAGACCGCACCCCCAAATAAGCGCACACTCGCAATTCCTGTGGAGGTGTTTTGCCCTCCGTTGGAATCCCTAACCCTCGAGAGCATTCAGTTTGCCTCCACTTGTGACCCTTCTTGGCTGCCTTACCTCCTCCCATCTGCCTCGCCCCTCATGTGCCCCTTTTCCCACACTACTACACCCCACGCTTCCCTCCCTTCATCGTCCTCCTCCCCCAATCCTGTCCCAAGCGTGAGCAGCAAGCCACAGTCCTTCAAAGCTCTCGCACGAGCTGCTATGTGTGGAAGGCTCAAGAGCCTGACTCTCGTGAACTGCACTGGACTGGGGGAGCGGCAGCTGGTGAGGCTGCTCCGTGCATGTGGCATGCTGGAGGACCTGAGGGTTGAAGGCAGTGATGGGTTCTCAGACACGGTGATTGCACGGAGTCAACTGGAGGTGCTGACTCGGTTGACTGTGGTGGGGTGCGGTGGAGTCACTGCACACGGTATTGGCGGGCTGCTGGGGAACGTGCCAAGGCTGCGGTATTTGAAGGTGGAGGCGAGTAAGGTTTCTGAAAGGGCTCGCCGGGAGTTGCTTTGTGCGGGAGTGGTTGTTAGGGGAGTGTGAGGAGATTATTCTTGGGACGACTACCAGTACCGGTGTACTTGTTTTCTTCGTCTATGGTGTTGATTCTGTCAGAGGGTGGAGGTGAACGCAATGCTCACTCCAGCTGGGTTTGATTATGCTTGCACACTTGTTAAAGTGATACAAGAAGTGAAACCATGAGTAAATCCAGAGATTGGTTTAAATACTCAGCTACCATCACAATGCTCAATCCTCAAAGCTACCATCACAATGCGAATGGTCGTACCATTCTTGCCGTCGAGAAATTCTTCCAGACATGGAGGAACGTGGGGGAAGGGGCCATCGGCGGTGAGTCTGAGATGGCGGAGCGACATGAAGGCAAGAGGAAAGGCGGGAGAGAGTGCAAGCAGCGCTAATGGAGGAGGTCGAGACGAGTGAGGCGGGAAAATTTCACCAGTGAGGATGGGAGGTGCGGTAGGTCGCAACAGCAGATCTAAAGCGTGGCGAGGCAAGGCAGGCACGTGAGATAGGGATGGGAGCAGCCTCTGGTGATGTTGGATAGGCGGAGGGTGTGCAGGGAGGAGAAGCAGGAGAGGCATGCCAGGAAGTCCCAGCAGTCAGCGTTGTCCACCACCAGAGTGGTGAGCGCCGTCAGCTGAGGTTCACTGTCATACCCCGACAGCTTTGCACGGTCCAAGTGCAGGAAGCGGAGGTTGGCAGAGAAGCCACTCTCCACCTTCCAGGCCACGCTGCGATCACCACCGACTACCATGTGTTCGAGGGCAGAGAAGAGAGACGTCCACATTGGAAGAAGGCTCTGACGTCACCAGCTGCAGCACCAAGAGCTTGTGACACATAGGCGCCCTCCAGCCAGGCGTGCTGCAAAGATCTGCTGAAGAATACTTGCGTTAGTCAGCTCTTATGTCCAGCTCCTCTAGGGATAGTGCCACATGTGCGATGAACCGAGCGACGTTCACGGTTGCATCGGGGCATCGCACGCGCAGGCGACGCAGACGACGCAGGCGGGGTAGACGGGACAAGCAGGCTGATTCGTCAGAGGCCTCGCAGCGGGTGTCACAACCGATGAAGAGGTCGTGCAGGCGAGTGAGGAGGGAGACGCCGTGGTGGAGAGTGCAGGGCGGGGTGTTGTTGACTCTGTAATCGTGTGCGCAGTGGAGGGATGGGAGGGCGAGGGAGGTGAGGTGGGTGAGGTGGCGGATGAGGGGAGGGAAGAATCGGTAGTGGGAGAGAGAGAGGGAGGTGAGGTTGCAGAGAGGCAGCAGTCTCTCATCGGTAATTTCCGAGGCAACACCTGCGTTGCAAAGCCCGTTGCTTTGCTCCTCCTCGTCATTGATTTCTTCCACTACTTGAACCACCCCTACCTCCTCTTCCTCTTCCTCCACTCCCTCCTCTTCCTCCTCTGCTCCCACCTCTTCCACCTGCTCTTCCACCCCTTCCTCTTCCTCTTAATCCTCCTCCTCGTCATCCTCCTCCCTTTCCTCGTCCTCCACCTCCTCCACTTCCTCCTCCAACTCTTCCTCCTCCTCCTCATCTTCATCATCATCCAGTCCCGGAATCCAGAGGTTGGAGTCGAGGCGAATGAGGGAAGTGAGGTAGGAGAAGGAAGAGGGCATGGCGGAGGTGGGGAGGTGCAGGGAGAGGGTGGAGAGGCACGAGGGCAGCCCCAGTAGCAGGTCGCTAGAGACGTTGCACCAGCTGCCTTCCTTCCTTGCTTTTTTATTATTATTATTATTTTGGTAGGTGAAAATGCATTATACAACGTACAACGCAAAACACCGTCGGTCGTAACCAGAGCTAGAGGGCATAGGTATTGTATACCGTACCCTCGCAGATATCTAGGGAGGCTTATAGACCAAACGCCTAACAATTTCAACTTGCTTGCTATGAATCCCCATTGTGCCATTGGCACGCTTCAGCTCTAAACATCCCACAATCTGTTCATGTTGCTTCAGCTTTGGTCGGTTGCCTTATCGAGAGCGACGGAGGGGACCCCGCATCCAAAGTTTTAATGCCGCGTGGCCTCACTGGTAGGTATGTGTGGATCAAAGGCACGCACAAAATGGCTTTTGGACACCTAGTCTCACAGTTATGGTATATGCATAGTTGAGGCACACATGCGCTTGCTAAGGTTGCACACATAAAACTCACAGTCTGGAAGGGCTCAATGGCGCCTCATCTGACAATGCTTCTACTCGCTGTGGGTCGGCATCATCATCCCTTGTCATGCGTTGCACCCCTTCGACGCCCAAGCCTAAATTTACATGTTGGGGTTCCACACAATCAGTTTCGCACCCGCCAACTCTATCCATCGCAACATCTGCAGACATCTGTTGAAGTCAATCGGCTGCCTCCTTTGATCCATTCCCCTCCGTGCTTCCATGCGCTGCATTTACCACCTCATCCATGGATTCGTGGGGTAGCCCTTCAGCCGAAGGGCTGGGGTCGGGTTCTCGTAGTATGCCCGAGCGTGTCGTGATGCATGGCAGATGACCAACGGACCTAGATCTCGCCCTTGTTTGAAACGTACCAGGCACTGTGTGAGTGGTGATGGGTGGGTGGGATGCAAACATGACAACACATCAACCTAGTATGGGGAAACAAATGTGGTATATGAAGTACACGCAAGGTCCTTGCTGAAAGAGCCACAACAATTGAAACAACAACGATACATGACACAACAGCATACCGCAGCCAATGAGCACCTGATATGCCGCACCACGTCTAGCCCCAACCCACTGGAACCCTAGCTTAATGCTCTCCACACACAGGGATTCTACACACATTCCGCAGCCAATACGCGTGCCGCAACAAAATAGCTTGGAAAGGATTCATACCCGCTTTCTTTGCAGCTTCCAGTAGATGCTCCACCAGAGTTGGCGAGGCTTCCATGAACATAAGTTCCATATCACTGTCCCAAGGCACCAAGCCACCACCCATAAGGCTTGCTAACCCGCATCGTAGGATGGCCCGTAGTCAAATGGCAGCTAAATGAAAGCTTCCTTTTGTTAAGCGAACCATTCAGGCCCAACGCCGCCGACGTTTTCGGGGTACCGGCCTCACCCTTTGTATCAGACATTTTGGTCGCAACCCTATATAGGAACTAATGTTCTGTGGTGTAATGAATGATGGTCGATAAGGGGGGGGGGAGAAAGGGGGGTTGCGGGGGGTTGTGCTAAGAGACGGACTTTGGGCTAATACCAGGCTTAGAGCGATAGCTACTAGTCTGGTCTAATATAAGGGCTTGTAAAGGAATGGCAGCAAACCCATTACACTCACTGTAATAGTTCAGTGAATGTAATGGAATAGCAGAAGTGTAATGGTGCTGCAATCAGAAGTTGATTGCCCCTAGGATCACCCTAGGAAGTTTCGCACATTACTGGGTGGTGGTGGTGGGCCCTTGACCTCAATATTAGAGTGGATGTAAATGCTCGAGATGATTAAAACATGCAAATACAAGGATATGAATAAGACTACAGAGGATTACTATGCGTCCTAGTCTAGCCATGTACTCTAAGCGGTACATTCCCTTATTACAGCAAAATCTAATCGTGCGACCCCGGATAGTTACAAAACTGTTAGGGGAGAATCATCGCCCTGACGCTGTCTGCACGACGGTCCAGATCCTTGTGTAACCGTACGACCATTCGCATCACTTCCGCCCTTTCGTCTTCAGCCTCGGTAGTGCATGCTTCGATTGCTGCGGTAAGGAGTGCACAATAATTCTTTCATCTTTTACTGTTCGTAACACCCCCCTTCACTCCTGGCCGTAGCAGGTCTTGACCCGTTTGACCACTCCGCTGAGTTCGGAGCAGTGCTGATACTGCTGACGCGGCAATTTCTTCGTGAGGAAATCAGCTGCCATGTCACCCGTCGGGCAGTAGGTTAGGTCAACCTTGCCATTGTCAACTTCGTCCTTGACGAAGAAGTATCGCGATGCGATGTGCTTGGTGCGGTTGAAGAAACCAGGTTTGTTCGCGATCCTTGTCGCGCTCTGGTTGGCACAGTGCAAGCGGAAATTCGGCGAATCTGGAATTTTCGCCTCCTGCAGCAGCTCCTGGAGGTAGAGGCCTTCGGGAACGGCTGCTGTTGCTGCGATGAACTCGGCTTCTGACGATGACAGGGCAACCAGCTCCTACTTCTGTGAATTCCAGGAGATGGGGCCGCTGGGCTCGAGGCGAAACAGGAAGCCTGTCCTGGACCGTCGATTGTCAGGATCAGCGACATGATCGGCATCCATGTAGCCGATGAGATTGAAGGACGCAGTTGGGATGATGGAGTAGCAGAGCCCAACATTGGGCGTGGAGATGAATAATTGAAGCGCTCGCTGAAGATCAGAGAGGTTTTCAGCCGTTGGTTTGCGGAAGTACTAAGCCAGCTGGCTCGCGATGTACGAGAGATCGGGCCTGCAGGTAACAGAGGCGAAGAGTTGGCATCCTAGCTGTCGCTGGTAAGTCTGGAGGCCAGCTAGGGATAGGGCTTTATTGTCAGGATTGTGGTTGGGTCCTGGAGTGCGGTGAGTGGAAAGTGGTGCAGGTGCGATGTTGAAGTGTTTGCCAAGTTCTTCTACATACTTGGCTGTAGACAGATGAATAGCTTCTGGCGAGTAGGAGATGTTGGGGCCGAGGAACTACTTCATGGCGTGGTTGCAAGTGATGTCGACGCGCCTCGCGAGGTTCTTCTCGAACTGCTCAAGCAACTCGTTGCTTGACCCTGTGTAGAGGAGGTCGTCGACGTAGACCATGAGTAGGATGTTTTCGCCGCAGGAATCGCGGCGGTACATCCCTGGACCGTGAGGCAGCTGCTTGAACCCAATTTCAAGCAGGATGTTGTGTAGGTACTGCTGCCAGAGCCTCGGCGCCTGTTTGATCCCAAAAAGGGATTTTCGCAGGTGGCGAACGCGCGAATCCCCTTTTTTCGTATGTGTGCGGCTGCTCCACGTAGATAACTGCAACCACTAACGCGTACAAGAACGCGTCCTTCATGTGGAGCAACTCTCTGTAGACTTTCTCCAATTTGGCGTAGCGGTGGGTTTCGGGCTCTTGCAGGGGGAACGGCTGGTGGCTCATCGCAGCCTCGGGGAGACGATGCAGTTGCGCGGATGTGTTGCGCCTCTTACTTTGGTGCCATCAGGGCGTAGGAGTGCGCCAGGTGCGAATACGCCAGCTTCGATGCAGTTTTTTAGTGTCACGAGGGGTGACCGAGGCGCTGGTGCCAGATGGCATCATCAACACAGAATCCAGAGGTGCGCATGTAGCATGCGCGGACTGCTTCACGGTCTTCCTCTAAAATGGGTGCGGCTGTTGCAGCTGCTTCGTCAGTTGCTTCTTCTTCTTCTTCCTTGTCGCCATACCCTGTGGTCAGCATCAGCGCAAGGAATTCCTTGTCAAGAATTACA